TTATATGCATAATGTTGATGGAAATTGCTTCTCAGAAATGAACTTCACTCGAAATAAAAAAGATCGAAAAAGTCAGAAATTTTCAAGACACCCTAGTTTCAAATTCCGCCTGAGCTATACAATTCTCTTGTCTGTACTGGGAAATATGAATATAAGTATCGTTGTTTAGTAGGTTGAAAGCGCTCTAACTTTTTATATATTTTCTAATTCCTATCATGAACAAGATAAAAGTTGACCGTGCACTGGAACACTCTAGAAAGATAACTTTATTCCCAGTCAAAGGCACATTCCGCGATAAGGGAAATAGGCGGAGAATGACAGCTGTTGTGTTTCCTCACTAGGGTGCTTTCAGCTCTATTACGGTAAAGAGCTGAAATGTGCGAATGAGGGATATGCCATTAGTTCAGAGATACAATCACCGTTTAGGATTATCACAAGTACAACAAGAATGGTTAGCGAATGGCACACAGTTGCATTTATCCCAATCTGTAAATGATTTTTTATAAAGATGGGGAAGAAGATGTGCTGTCCCCTCAGCTAATCTCAGCTGCGTTGCGTTCCTACTGAAACGTTTGAAAGCGCCTATTCGCCAGGAGCCCACCCTAGCATTGTTTGGATTATGGCCCTGAAGGCAGCCTTGCTGACGGCTTGAATGATTTATGCAACACCAAAGTACCTAAGACGAAGGCACAACCGCCTCAGGCTGCCGCCTCCGCCCATTTCTGCTCTGATATCAACGCAGACTACATATGTCTTTGGCTCTCCTAAGCGCAAAGTATGAAGTTTGATTTCAAACACGAAGCTCTCTCAAAGCAAGGATATGCATAAGGTTCAGTCCTCGCCCGTCCGCCTTTTGGGAATCCTTCGTAGAAGAGGAAGCCTACGGTTGGCGATAGTCTTTTGAGGATAAAAGTCCCAAGACTTGCAGATCCATTTCCCCGACTTTTCAAAAATGAAATGAAGGTGGGCTTAGCCTCGTAGAACTGATTATAAGAAAGAGTTAATTGGCTGTTGAAACTAGGCGAATCCTTACCTGCCCTAAGATGTATGTTCTTTCCAGTGCAGGAAACACTCGCTTGAACAGTTCCAAGTACTTCAAGACGACTTCCATATGCTCCTTCTCGTATGGCAAATAGTGAACTCGTCCAATGCTTTTAGCAATAGCATAGCCAGATATTAGATGGAATAACTGGAAATCGAAAATTTCTCCGGAAAAATGAGAACACGCTAGAACATCACGCTCCTTCTTCCATTTACATGTTAGTTTTGATTGGTACAAACATTGATCTCACCAATGAACAACCCTTTACAAGCTTTGCGTCAGAAAGGTGTATAGTAGCGGCGCTATGTAACACTGTTTTACAAGTGGCTCTGCCAAGAAGTCTGTGTCCCCGCTCATGTTGATATGTGCCACTTCCATTCTAAACTCACCACTTTTGAAACCAAATTCATAACTTTTCAAGTTAAAATGACCGAATCCACCATGCCGTTCCAAAAATGTGAAAATTTCGAAGGAAGATCAATATTTCGTAAAAAGCTGCAATGTAGGCGTGGCCAAAGAGGCGGAGCTTGATGTGTAGGTGCATAAATGGGCGTCTACTAAGTGAATACTTAGTACTTCCGCTCTGTGAAGAGTGAATGTGAAGTTACCCAAGCTTAAAGAAGCTGTGAAAATTCGAAATTCGGAATCGGCCTTGTGTCGAGCTCCAGACCTTCCAGTCGTTGTGTCGTGTGAACGAAAAAGGGCGCACAGAGTCCATTGAAAGTAGAAGCTGTAGAATAAGGCTTGAAAATTTATGACCGCATTGACAAGCACGCGTGGCCATGGGGGTGGGCTCGCATTGCGGTCCAGCGTGACCTGGTTGATTAATTGCCCGCTCAAAAAATGTGGTGAAATTGATTTGGAAAGCGGAGTTGGTTTTGGCTCGAAAAGTGGTGAATCTGGTTTGAAAAGTGGGCGATTCAGAGTGAAAGTGTTCTATATCCTATCGGTTGTCTCACTTGTTTGCGTGCTCTCTCGCCCTTCTTTTCTGGGCTCTCTCGCCCGAGAACCCACATCGACATCATAGACATCTCTAATCAGTCTCCCTCCAGCATGGGGAAAGCCTGATTTCAAGGGTTTTCAGAATTTCTTTTTTCTTTTTTTTCATTCACGAACGAGTTCACTAGGACGTGCACTTTTAGTTCTAACCCTGATACCAACGGGCTTCCCTCTAGCTCATGGCGGATTCTGCCTTTCATCGAGGAGTGAGATGAAGTAAGCCAATTAGATAAAGTAAAGCAGTCAGTAGTCAAGAGTAAGATAAAGTGCACCTAAAGTAACGCTACCCTAGGAGAGAATACAAGTCCACAATCTCACCACAGAACTAGAAGAGAGATGCCTGCCCCAAGCAAATGACGGGAATCGGACAGAGCGTCCTATTTGGGGGGACAAATAATGGTGCAGTTTGGTAGAAGTATATTTTAGTCCTGGGCGATAATTACAGGAGAAGACTTCGAAATCAAGTGGTGTCCCAAGAGAGGCAATTCGTGCATTAGTGGCTTAGAAGTTCTAGGAATTTTGGATGAGGAACAGTTTCCTCGAGATGCATGGTAGTTTTATAAACACGGGAGATATTTCATGATTCAACACTCCTCATGTGTACTTAAAAAAGCTTGTTGAACCTACCTGATTACCCAAGCGACCAGAGACCAAATGCAGTCCGACGTATTTTGTATCGGCAGCCTTGTCACCAGTGTCACTAGTGAGCCATGAGAAAATCCATATTATTAAACAACATTGTATGAATATTGCCCAACCATAATGAGCGCATCAGTTGCTTAAATGCATCAGCCATCGTTCATCAAAAAGTCTAACATCTCTGAGATAAAAATCTCGAGAAATACACACTTGGTCACACTTCTTAATCAAATCATCGCGCAGGTTATGTTGAATGGGAGTCATGTCGAGAACCATAGTAGAGATCGCTGTCCGAAGCCCCGACGATCACGAACGTCTCCTCACTATGGCTGCTACTTACGGTCGTCATCCGGGTACTTGACTAGGCGGCGAAAGGGTCGCGACCAAGCGTCACGACCGCGGCGATCAGCTGTTTCCAGCCTGGTTTAGCCATTTTCTCCCTAATTTTCACTGTTTTTGGCTGCTTTTCTTGAGGTTAGTTGTTCCTTGTCTTCACAAGGTAAATTATGATTGAGATTTCTCTAATTTTTGCGAACAATTAACAATTAAACAAAGCAATTAGACAAATACCTAAAAATCGCAAAAACACTTCATTACAAAAGCAAAAAAAAGAGTTCACTTCCCAATACATTTCACAGATAACACAACATACCTCAAAAAAAATAGAAACTAACATAAGTTAAAATTAGGGAGAAAATGGCCAAACCGGGAGGGAAACAGTTGATCGCCGCGGTCGGATCCGCAGATGCGTCGTAAAGTTTTGGCCGCCTAATCAACTGGCCGGATGGCGACTGTACATAAGGGTGCGAGATGATATATTTATGGAGCGGGGATAGTGCCCAGAGGAGTGACGCAAGTAGAACAATGCGTACAACATTCGTACCAGACCCTCATTGATTTAAGAGGAAGCGCTACAACAAAGTCTGGAAACTAATCAGTGCTCCAGCACTGGTCCTGGTAATGGATGCTGCCTCTTGGATCTGGTGGTCCAATTCGAAGACAAGCCCCACCAGTACATAGTGCGGATAGAGGGGTTCAAGTACAAAGCTATAGACGCTAAATGACTCTCCATGGAAGAAAAAACCGAGAAAAAAATTGTGGACAGCATCAAACGTAAGGGCCTGACAGCCTTTCTGCACGAGTTCCCCGGATCTGCTCGTTTCGCGCCAGCAATCGGATATCCTGTCGCGTCTACCACACTACTCGTAACTTCTCGTGTGTCGGTGAGCGGGACACTAGAGAGGCGTCAGAACTTCCACTTATAAGAGGCACAGCGCCTCCGCATCTTACCTGAAATTCCTGAAATTGAAAAAAGGGCTAAGCTGAGAGATCGAGGAACAGACTAATTGTACAAGGAAGGACGCCTACTCCTTATTATTACAGTCTAATATCAGTGAATTCCAAATTGCTTGAGCGCGATGACTGTCTTCAAATCAAAGATGTTACAGTTCGGCCTTCGGGATTCCTCAGAAATTTCGTCAGAGACTTCGCTTTTATAATGTGCTATGTGCAGCAGCAAAAAAAAGAGGTTGATAAAGTACAATAGTGTGGTATACATATGGGATCGAATCGAATCGAATTGACTCTTGTACAGATCGACACTCACTGTACAAGTGTCGATCTGTACAAGAGTCAATTCGTTTCTACACAAAATCGAAGCAATTCGAAATTCACAGATTTCAATATATAACAAGCAGAAATCGTAGCTCTGAAGGTGAGAGGGGTTAGACGGATAGATGTTTATTATCTGACCATGTAAGGTATGTCAAAGAATCCCGACTCATGTCACTAGAGCAGTTCATATGGTAAACCTGCATTTCTACTATAAGATGTTTAAGATTGAAAACTGGCTTTCTGCTCTCCATATGAGGCTGCAGTAGTGGGTTTCCCCATACAGCATAGCTCCATGTGAAATCAGTCTATATACAGGGGGGGGGCAACAAAAGAAGACACTTTTCTTCTCGACTTTCAAGGCGATAGGAATTACACAATTTTGGTTGGGCATTTCCACCATCGCATTCTACAACACATTGT